TCATATTCTGGATTGTTCTGGAATTGTTTCGATAAGTACGACCATCTTGCTACTCTGTCTACGGCTGCTACCGTCAACCCTCCATGCAAAGAACTCTGCCACTGTGGAAAAATACACGTGTGGGCTCGGACACATCACCGCACCCCGAGACATCTGCCATCGGCGAATGCTCATTTGGGAATGGTGGGCCTCGACTGCCCCACGCACCTCAGCTCTACTTCACTGCTGGTTGCACTGCACGTGCTGGCCACCGGGTCCCCGCATGCCGCGATCGTCGTCATCGTCCTCGTCGTCATAAGCCTCCCCGCCAGCCTTCATGTTGACCTTATTCTCGTTGAAGGAAGCTACGGGGTCGTAGTCCACCAAAGTGTGGATCTCCACCTGGGTGGTTGTCAAAATTATGGTCCCTCCCTATTATAACACGGCACCTATAATTTCGGGTACCCAAAAACAGGGGAGCTTAATTTTGACAGCCACCCAAACCCTAAACCCGAAGCCCGAAACCCTAAGCCCTAAGCCCGAAGCCCTAAACCCTAAACCCTAAGCCCTAAACCCTAAACCTCAAGCCCTAAACCCGAAGCCCTAAACCCTAAACCCGAAGCCCTAAACCCTAAGCCCTAAACCCTAAACCCCTAAACCCTAAACCCTAAGCCCCTAAACCCTAAACCCTAAACCCTAAGCCCCAGACCTCCTTGTCATCTTCCTTGAACTTGGGCTTGTTCAGGGGCGGCGGCAAGATCTTGCGGAGGGAGCTCTGGGTCTCCACGCTGAGGGACTCCGGAAACCTGGGAGGGCTTAGGGGTTTAGGGTTTAGGGCTTAGTGTTTAGGGTTTAGGGCTTAGGGGTTTAGGGCTTAGGGGTTTAGGATTTAGGGGTTTAGTGTTTAGGGGTTTAGTTTAGGGGTTTAGGGGTTTAGGGGTTAGGGTTTAGGGGTTAGGGTTTAGGGGTTTAGGGTTCAGGGGGTTAGGGTTTAGGGCTTAGGGGTTTAGGGTTTAAGGCTTAGGTAAGGATTTCAATGTTAAGTTATCATCTGATATCATAATTGGGTCTATAATGGTTTTTATTATGTTAAGGGGTGTCAAGTTAAGATTACCGTTATAACAATAACAATGATATCATAATAGCGTCTATCTTATGTTGAGGGAATTGAATTTTAAGTTACCATAATATCATAATAGGGTCTGCAGTATGTTTAGGGGTTTCAGTTTAAGGTACCATAACATCATAGCAGAGTCTATATTATGTTAAGGGAGTTCAGTTTAAGTTACCAAAATGTCATAAAAATCCAAGAATAGTAACAGGTCTATATTATGGGTAGCTTAAGTTGAACTCCTGAACAAGAACCCAGGAACTGGATGGTAAAGATCAGGAAGAGGTTGCCGTGCACAAAGGGGTTCTTGACGGTGGGCATCCCCTCGCCCTTCAGACACTTCATCATTCTGAAGCCCTTGTTGGCATCGGGATCTGCCGCCACGTACATGGTCTTCCCCTTCGCCGTCTTCTTGGCTGCCAACGCCTCCTGGCGAGTACACTGCTTGAAGTAGGCCCGCCTTCCGTCCACGACGAAGGCGCCCACATCGATGCCCTTTCGCTTGAGCTGTGTCTCGCAGGCCTTCTTCAGGGTGTCGACGTCGGTCGTGTCCGCCTGAGCGACATTATCAATGGAGGGACAGTCAGCGTCCTCGATGACCTCCCACTCGGTCTTCGACTCCTGCTCCGCAAGGGGATCAAAGTTCCCCTCCCTGGGCTTGATGATCTCGCCCGGGGCGGTCTTCACTAGCAACTTTCGCCCGTCAAGGTGAGTGATGTCTGTTTCGAAACCGCAGAGAGCCTCCACCAAAGAGATCTTCCTCTCCATGAACAAGTCTGCGCCCTTGCGCTTGAAGACTTCGTGCTCCTGCTCTTTGCAGACGAAGATCACGTCGCCTGTGTCGGCGTTCGGGTGCTCGTCAGCCATCTCACGGAAAGGAATCTTGTGTCCGTCGACGGCGCCCTTCTGGATGTGCACCTCGAGCACTTCCCTTTCGTTCTTCGTGGTATACACCTTGCCGGTTCCTCCGCAGTTGTCGCATGGCTGCTGCACCTGCTGGATCATTGGCCCCATGCGAATGATCTCCACCAGAAAGCCACGTCCGTCACACTTCGGGCAGTCCTTTACACCTTTCGCCTTGTCGACGACCTGGCGTGTGATCGCCATCTTCTTAGTCTGCCCGGAGTAGAGGCCCTCCAAGGTCACCTTCAAAGGCTGGACGACGTCTTTGGTCTTCTGCCGCTTGCTTCCTCCTCCTCCTCGGCCACCGCGCCCTCCTCCGAAGAAGGCCGAGAAGATGTCCTCTGCATCTCCACCGCCGCCGCCCTCCTCAAGACCCTCCTCCCCAAATCGGTCGTAGGTATCCCTCTTCTTAGGGTCGCTGAGGACCTCGTAGGCACGGGTGATCTCCTTGAACATCTCCGGGTCACCGCCCTTGTCGGGGTGGTGCTTCACTGCGAGCTTTCTGTAAGCCTTCTTGATGTCGGACTCGGAGGCGTTCTTCTCTACTTCCAGCAGCTTGTAGAACTTGCTGCTGTCCGCCTTCTTGCTGCCCTTGCCACCGCCCTTCCGGCCGCCATCCATGCCTGGGAATCCGCCGAAGAACATCCTGACTCTACTATGCAGGCTTGCCCCGTGACCACAACCAACCGGCAGAACCTGACTACCTTCAGCCAAAAATGCTGCGAGCAAGGGCTAAGGAAGTTGGGCTCCTGCGTCGATCTTGCTGACCCTCGTTTTTGGAAGCAATGAGGGCAGGCATCCTTTTCCCTGGGACAGGAACCTTCTTCGGACCATGCAGCTGCTGCATGCGACTCAAGCTGTCTTGTGAAAAGCCCCTTGTGAGAGTCAACCCGAAATTAACCCGAATGCCAGACTTCACAACGACTCGCCAAGCACGCAGGAAAGGCTGCTGCAAAGAACTCCCTTGGCTCGTGCAAGATTTTACGATGATCAAATGATCAAATCGCGCCCATCTTTTCACACACCTACCAGCACCCGAGCAAAACTTGCCCTTACGAGGTGGGTGCAAAAAGGAAGTCGGCAACACACACTCTGCAGTAAATGTATCTTTCCATGTAATAACCTTCTGCAAGGACGCAACATCAGCATCTGCGGCACCTGTCATGCTGCATTGTAGTGCTGCGGGCAACATTTGCTTCCGACGGCATACTTAGCACATTTCCGATGATACCTTCAGCATGGCATGGCATGGCTGATGACACGGCAGTATGGCCCAAAATTTACTCTAAATAAAGGCACAGGAGCAGAGCAGGACCGTGGACTCAAGCCTTGCTGCGACTTCAGGTCGAAAACTGCGCGAGACTCCGAAATCTCCCGTCCATATCGGCAGCCCCAGCCGTGCGGGATAGCTTCCACCAGAGCCTGGCAGCAAAAACAAGTGAGAGGCTGATATTCAAAGACTGAGGTGTTTTGTAGCCAGCCCTTAACACCCGCGACTTGATGGCTGCCGTCCTTGCGGCGCTGACGTCCTGGTATAAAGCTGAGAGACGACATTCTCAAACCGTTCGCTTTGGAGGCCACAAGACAACAATCAAGAACATGCAATAACAGCAATTGGCACTGCTCGAATGATAATGATACTCATAGGACCAGCACTCACATTGATTCTAGTGATACTAAAGATAACACTCATCTTGATGATGATGATGATGGTGATGGTGATGGTGATGCTAATGTCGATTACTGTTAGGAACACTACAGTAATCTGTTAGAAACGATATTATTGTTATTATTGTCGCTATTGCTTTTGCTCAAATTCTTTATGGCTAGTGCTGTTATTGTTGTGTTTACTGTCATTGTTGCTATTTCTATTGCTGTTACGATTAACCTTGTTCTTGTTATTGCGATTGTTATGGTCTTGGTTACTGTTAGTGTTATGGTTGTTGTTATGGTCATGGTTATTGCTATCATTGTTGCTAGTGCCATTGCTAGTATTGTTGATATTGCTGTTGTTATTGTTATCAGCTTCATTGTTCTTGATTTTATTGTTGCCGTTGTTAAGTGCAAATATTATGATTTATTGTGATTAATTTACTGTTGTTATTATTTGCTATTATCAGTGAATCAGTCTTGTTGTCATCATTGCTGCTGTGATTTTGATATTACTGCCATTCACAGCAATAATACATAATGACATAATGTGAGCACGGAGCCATTCAAACCCGGATCACGGATCCAGAGCTCCAAAGCAGCTCGGCATCCCTCGGTGTCTGTACCGAAAACAACCCTGACACCTTAGCGCAATCAAGCAGCGAACCCCAAATCCTTCATAACGGTTTAGGGTGTAGGCCCCTCTCAAAACTCAAAACCTTCTAGACGCCCGCAAACTGAACAACCCTTCGCTCATAGCGCCCAGAAAACCCGAGACATCCTGATATTCAGATTTGGAATCCAGGAAAAGCACACTTAACAAACCTGTACTGCATACGCTACTCCCAGCAAGCCCTTAAATGACAGCAGAAGCTGTGGATAGTCAGAGTCATGCCGTCATTTTTGAATCTTCAAAAACCCTTCCCTGGCACCTTTATGTGAATACCAGCAGCACATGCATTACCCAGCTGCACCAAAACGGTGTCGGAACTCCTTAATTGGCTCGAGCCTGAATGGCAACGGGGATTGCTGTAAAGCGTGGGCTGTTCAAGTAGCGGAGTCATCAACAGCCTTGTTGTTCAAGTTGAGCGAACACACTCTGCATGCGCGAACTTTGTCGAAACATTTGATGGACCACCTTATTGCAGCTTAATCGCTGCATGCAGACGTCCATGTTGGGAGGTAACTGCGCTGTACAAGGTAACATAAGGAACTCCGCTCGTCAAAACACTTGATGGAACACCTTATTGCAGCGTAGCCGCTGCATGCAGACATCCATCTGTACGATGTCACACAGACAACTCGGCTCAAGGCTTCTGGCCAGGATCAAAATGATCTCCCAGCCGTTCATGCCAATTCACGCTTCTAGCATGCCGATCTCTTTCTCTGCAGCACGCCACTTCTTCTCCAGCTCCGCATACCTTTGGGGGGGCAGCACACGATTGAGAGGATAGTTTGCGGGGAAGAACTTGTTCTTGCCAAGGAAGAAGAGATACTCGTCAATGGCCTGCGCGACAATGCATGTTGCATCATGTATGCAGGAATGTTCATGTTCTACCTGAACTATGTCCAGACATGGAACACTGAGCCCCCGGGGAACACTTGACTGATCTCACCCGCCTTGACGAAGTTCGTTAATCCCTCAGCATAACTCTGCATCTTGTCGTTGAACCTGTGCTGGCGACCACCCCTGCTCGTAGTCTTCAACATCTTGAAGGCGTGTGCAGCTTGCTCGGCAGACATGGAAACACCAGCCCACAGGCCCTCGTGAGTCCTGGCAGAATCACCATCTGACCGGCAAGTTCCTGATTCTGCTGGGACTTCTCAATGGTGGCTTCGCATGCTGCCGCTTGAGTTTCGGCTGCCTTTTTTTCGAGCAAGGTTTCTGTACTTTGGCAACTGTAGTCATAAGCATCACAGCCCGTCTTCAAAGCCAGCAGACCAAACCCGACAGCAAGTCCAGCTCCCACCATGACCCCAACAGGGTTGAAGGTCACTGCTGTTGTCGTCACAGTGTATCCAAGCGCCCCCCAAAACCCACCGGCTGATGAGATTGTTACTGTCGTTGTGGTCAAAGCTGCGCCGACTCCGGGAATGCTCGCCACCCACGTAGCTCCGCCGGCAAGTGCTGCAATTCCCCCCTCCAGTCCCGCCGGCAGTGGCTCCACCGGAAGTAGCAGATATGCAGCCATTCACTACGCATGAGCCTTGCATCCTTTTTGGAACCTCGACCTTTTTCTTCGGCAGTCTTCTCGCTTTCTTCGCATGCTTGGAGTGCCTTCTGCTTATTTGCCTGGTACTGTTGCTGAATCTTTTCCAGCTCTGCCGAAAGTTGCTCAAACTTCTGCTTGCCAAGCACCGCAGTCTTGCGTGCCGCTTCTGGGAGCTATGAATATCGCGCATGATCTCCTGCATACTGGTACCATCTGATTGAACTTCAGGCATGTCTTCAAGCAGCTTGGCAATGTCTTCCAGGTGGCGTCGCATTGGCAGCACTTGCTCCAAAGAATAACTGGAGGCATCCTTCACGCACCTGACCTCAGCCAGAACTGCCCGGCTCTATTGTGCAGAATGCACGTGCTCATTTAGCGACTGCACGGAAGCTGAGTTTCGGGCGATACCGCAGTCCAATCCGCCAACTTCTGTGATGATGAACATAACTGCCAGCACATCATGCACATCTGATAAGCTCGAGCCGGGTCTACATCCTCCTCAGACTCACAGGCGTCCACGTATGCCTGCCAGGCGTCGGGCTCGCAAGCGATGCAGCAAAAGGCTTACATCAGTATGACGACGGTCGTGCTTCTAACCTCCTTTGGCGTCTATGGAGAGCTTCGTGACAAAGATGATTCAAAACACCTGGAAAGCCAGCCACAGAGCCCAGAGACCCTGCAACCCCCGAGCCCCGAAAGACTCGGTGCCGCGATCGGACCGACAGAGCCTCGAAAGAAGGCCCCGATCGAGAAATTTACAAACCTTTGGACAGGTGCAAAGCCTCTTTTTTTTCTGTCCAGCCCAGCGAAGATCAATAACTTCAAAAACAGAATTGAAGCCCTGGAGACATTAGAAGATTCCTTCTCAAGCCTCCCTTGAACCATACTTGACTCGCAATCGGACTGTGTAAAGTCATATGCAAGATCAGGTGGTCTTCTTCGTGTACTCCAGGCAATAAGTCATACGAACGCATAAGACTAGCCGCAGTTTGATTCACGAAACCCAAGTCAATTCGCGATCCACGACCTTTCAGCGATGTAGGGCGAGAGTCAAAGCCCCCAATGCCCCACGACGCGCAATCCACCCACCGCGCATGCTGCAAAGTCTCGAACTCCTCCGGCGCATCCGTAACCTCAAGGTTGAAATCCCCACAAACTACCATAGGAATGTCACCCCTCCGCGTCGCATCATCATGTACCGCTTGTATAAGCTTCTGGTTGTAAGCTTTCTTGGCCATCTCCCATCGCGCACCTGACCACCCATACAGAACATAGACAACCATGGACCGGCGCTCATCGGATCTGTAAACCTGTACCGCCAACAGACGCCCATCCTCCCAAAAACGGTGACACAAAGGACTGCGAAAATCGATCTTGCGTACTGCCCATGCACTGCTCTTCTTGTACACAAACGCCACGCCACTCCACCGACGATCACCCACTGGAGCTCCCCACACAACCTCATGAGAATCATTTCGAGTCCTCAAGTCCAGCTCCTTCTGCTGTAACAAAGTAGCATGTGTTTCTGGCAAGGCCATAAAATGCGGCGTATGTTCCACCACAAATTCCCACCTGCCTTCTTTTTGCAAGCCACCAATGTTGCAGGCCCGCAAAGAGACATCGTCATCGTCACGATGGTTGCCATGCATAATGTGCATTAACTTGTTCCACCTGCCTTGAAACATATGGGCCCAATGTACTTCGCACATCAACCCATCCCGTGCAGCATCACAAATTCCGTGAAACCAACCATTCCGCTCACTCATGGCGTGGCTTCCCAGTCTCCGGAGTGTTACCCGTGTGTCCCTGGCTAGGTCGCTTAGGAGGTGTCCCAGTTCTGCCACCCCCTGGGGGCACCGCAGCACTTGCCCGCATCTCTGCAGCCCGCCGAACGAACTCCCGCTGATGCGATGCCCTGTCCACCTCCACAACCCGAACATTCCCTCTCGAATCCTTGGACGCTGTAGCCGCCGCACTTTTAGCACATGCATTGAGTGCCTTGAAGCGCAAGCTTCGGGGCATGCCTTGAAACATATAATGTGCAGGACTGTCTTGTCCCCGGTTTTTGGACAGAAAGACACACTGCTTGTCATCATGGAACACGATCTCATGGACATCCCATTTGAGAAACGCCAGAAGACGCTGCACACCCTCCACCCCTGCACCAACCGGAATCCCCGTGACCTTCCATCGTCCCATGGGATCAACATGTGTTGGCCTTCCGAAACTCATCCATGGAACTCTGCGTCGCAAAGCGTAAAGCCAACCTTCCACTCTTGCCCTTTTCGGTCAACCCCATGGCCCTGGTATCCTTCAGGTACTCCAACGCACGGTCCAGAGAAACACCCTCATCCAACCAAAGCAGCTCCATCAATGGACGACCTTCATCCGAATGGCATTTGATAAAGACCCCATGACCACTCACACGAAGCAATGAATCAACGTACAAGTCGTTCACATAGAAGATGAAACTACCATCCTTCCGAGCCTGGATCATGTCCACCGCATGCTGATCAACCCATTTCTCCAGATGCGCCATCAACACTCCTGCCGGATGGGGTCCTGCTCATCTTTGCAACCATCTTGATCACGGTGATGCCCACCTCCTACCTTGGAACCTGACTTCCGCATTCCCACTGGCACTCCAAACCCAAGTTGCACCAAGTACCGCTCAACTATCACTATCTTGATCTCCCGCCCCGGCATCCACATCAATATTGCAAAACACCCACAATCTCGGATATGAACGCAATTCCAACTCATCCTCCAAAAGGAGTAGTGTCAATCAGTGTCCTATTGGCAATCTGCTGCTCCCGCTGCGAAGCTAATAGCAATCAGTGTGCTCCCTAAATGTTAAGAATCACAAAGTGTCGATTATAGGCTTCAAGTAGAGCTGTGAAGGTCTCAGTCGACTGCTGAAAAGGTAACTCTGGGCCTGAGGTCAGTAGACCGAAACAATTTGTACCCAGGAGTGTTTTGTATCCTTATGCTTGTGCTGTGCGCCATGCTTACAGGGGAGGCCCGCTGGACTTTTCCACCCCTACATTTGGAGTCGCGAAGCTTGCGATTTTCACCAACAGTGCAAAGCCTCTCGAACCGTCATTTGTGGGGTTTCGAGACAGAAACTGAAGCCTTCCAAAGCCTCCCTCGTGGGTTCGGAGCTTACAATCTTACCGTAGTCTCTGCAGTCTTCTGGTCTTGTAGTTCCTGCAGCTGTCTTGGGCTGGAGATAAGGTACGCCAAGCATCGCACAAGCCAGCAGAATTACAGGCAGTAGAGAAAGCAAATGCTGGTGTAATGGCCGGACAAACCAACCTCCGACCGCCATGACGGCCCAGACTTTCTTGCTAGGAGAAGTTTGCGTGCTTGGCTTTGACTCGGAACTGCTTGTGCTTGTTTGCTTTCACAATCTGGTTGCAGAACAAGATCAATGTCACTGGCCGTCAATTGACAGACGGAATCCGCCGAGAGACCAAAAGGACAGAGGTTGCCGTAGCATCCAAACGCTTCCAGCGGCGGCATGGCTGGAAGCCATTTGCAGAGATGGAGCCGGTCGTTGGTGCACCTTGCGTTCCAAGCAGGTGGACCTTCACGTGCGTAAGCATGCAATTGTGCGACTCCATCTGTCTGGAAGAATGGCCTCTGAGTGGCTTTCGCATTTAAAACATAACCAGGGCTGAACGATGCCTGCCGGCGAAGTCTGCAAGTCGCAGCCCGTTTCACCTTAGTGTGTTTTCACTCTCTCTCTCTCTCTCTCTGTCTCTTTCTCTCTCTCTCTCTCTCTCTCTCTCTCTCTTTCTCTCTCTCTTTGCTTTCTTGTGGTTCTTGAAGTTCTTACTGGGAATCAGTTTGAGCTCAGCTTTGCTTCACAATCTAAAAGTTGAGAAAGCTTCTAGCTTGAGAATGAAAGATTATGACTGATTGCGAACTGTATTTGACTCAAGTCAAGACGGAGCGAAAAAGAAGTCCTGCACTTTCCATTCGCTTTTCTGAGAGTGAAGTCCAGCTTAGTTCGAAATTGCAGAACGTTAGGCAAAGTAGACGGACTATTGCTAGAAACAGAGAACTGTTTGGCCACGGGACTTCAGAATCCGCCAATCGAAGAGCCAAAGAGTTCTGTGTGGCCATGGAAACTGCCGGCCCTGTGGTCGCTCTCCCTCAAGCAGCATTGGCTAGACTCGAGTGGAGCCCCCGAGCCGAGTGGCGAGGGTTGGACTTTCCGAACAGTGCGTTCCGGGGTGCAGCCGCATGGCCGAATGGCCAGGCCTGGGTTCCCTGGGTTGTTGTTGTGTTCCCCCTCTCCGGACGGAGGGAACCCAGGTCCAAACCCAGATTCAAACCTGGTTAAACCCTGGGGGGGGGCTGGTATGGCCCGAGCACATGCATTGTCTGCGGCCCTTGATGTCTGCCAGACGCCCCATCGGCAGCCGAGGGAGAATGACTATGCCAGCACAGCATCGTCGCAGTCCGTCTCCTGTACAATTCGTTTGCTTGTCCATTAGTCTTCCCTCGGTGGGCAGTGTGGACATC